AGGGCCTGAGGGCAGAGACTGTGACTCACCTGGAGCAGAGGCAGCAGCAAGCAGAGGTCCCCGGGGCCGCCATGATAAGTGATGAGTGCGGTGGAGCGGAGGGCGGAGCGGAGGACGCTCTCCTCTGCCGCCCTGGGCCCTGCGCCATGAGTGGGGGCGGGGGAGCATGCGCAGTCCAGAGCTGGTGCGGGTTGGACACGCCCACGCCGCACGTGCTCAGCGTGCGTCGGGAGCCACGTGACTGCCCACGTGGGCGGTTGCCTCGCCGCTGCTTGACGGCTGGGCTGGCGGGGACGGGACTGTGTGGGTGGAAGAGTAAAACTCACGGAGAGAGAGGCAGGCAGCTTTCTCTACTTCGTAGGATCACGTTTAGGGCTGGCAGATAACACATGGGAAGCCAGTGAAATTTGCAGTGGGGTAAGCAGTTAAAGTTTTAGTACTATCGCACGCCCGAGTATTTGCTGTTTATGTGAAATTGAAGTGTAACTGGGTGTCTTGTATTTTTGTTTGCTAAATCTGGCAACTTTAATGTTAGGGTTTAGATGCCAAGTTTGAACATTTAAGTGCAATGTTGTGCCAAGCCACATCACAGCCTGAGGCAAAAGGAAACGTGCCCTTTATTTTTAAATGATTAATGTTCCCCAAATAGTAAACGTTTAAAATATTTTAAAGTTGAAAGGTTGGTATATTAAAATACATATTATTTTTTAAACATGTGTATTTTTTATTTCATAGAGGAAGGGAGAGAGAGAGCGCGAAACATCAATGATGAGAGAGAATTATTGATCGGCTGCCTCCTGCACACCCCCTCCTGATTCATAGGTCGGTGCTCAACCAGTGAGCCACGTTGGCTGGGCAAAATTCATATTATTTTTAAGGTTAAACATTATACCAAAAATAAAAATTACGATAAATTTTATTTTCCTGGCTTTAATGGAGGCAAACTCATCGAATTTTTCAAAATTTACTTCTCTTGATCAAGTGAGATCTTAAACAGTTTTTAATTAACTTCAGTTTACTGAAACTTCTTTTGTAGGATGCTGCTGTGGCTGATACTGTTTTTAAAAAGTTCCCTAAACCACTTATGTTACCAAACTCAAAGGGTTTGCTGCTTGGTGTGTTCTATTTAATAACAAGTTGTGCCCACAGTGTGTGTGGTTCAATGGTTGAGCGTGAACCTATGAACCAGGAGGTCATGGTTGCATTCCAGTCAGGGCACATACCCAGGTTGCAGGCTCTATCCCCAGTAGGGGGCTGCAGGAGGCAGCCAATAAATAATTCTCTCTCATCATTGATGTTTCTATCCCTCCCTCCCTCTCCTTTCCTCTCTCTGAAATCAATTAAAAAAATATATATTAAAAAAAAAAAGTTGTGCCC